TAGTCGTGGTCTAGGTACTGCTAGTCTGGTCAAGGTACCGCTAGTCGTGGTCTAGGTACAGCTAGTCGTGTTCTAGGTACCGCTAGTCGTGGTCTAGGCACCGCTAGTTGTGGTCTAGGTACCGCTAGTCGTGGTCTAGGTACCGCTAGTCGAGGTCTAGGTACCGCTAGTCGTGGTCAGGTTACAGCTAGTCGTGGTCTAGGCACCGCTAGTCGTGGTCTAGGTACAGCTAGTCAATTCGTGTAATTTATATCCCCCGCTTGCAGGACATATTGTAGGTAAACATTATGGAGGTTAAGTTTAAACATGTGAGTATCTTGCTGTTGAGACATAATGTATAGCTTGGAACTCGAAATAAAAAAAACCTTATACCTCATTAATTATCCGGATGTGCCTACAGAATGTGGTTGAATATCTGCACAATATCTACAGTAATTATCACACGAACCCCAAAGAGTTCCCGAGATGGGTGGAAAGACATAGGAACAAAAACATTGTTATCAAGTTTGAAGGAATTTGGCTAATATTTGCTAGAGTTATTAAGCGGAAACTGCAGATAATGACGTTTTTCGTTAATCAAGGGGCCATTACTCCGCCAAATGGAGGCCGATTAAAGTGGTTGTCAAAGTTGGCTGATCCCTTAATGCGTTGAATCCTGTTACTAAGTTTGAAGACAATCGGATAAAATTTGCGAGAGTTAATGAACAGAAACGGCAGATAATGACATTTTTCGCTATTCAAGGGTCATAACTCCATCAAATAAATTCCGCTGAAAGTGGTCATCGACCTTTATTCAAGCCCTAAGGCATTTAACCCTGTTATCAAGTTTGAAGAAAATTTGTTAACATTTGTTGCATTACAGACAAACAGATAGACAGACAGACAGACAAACCTTTCGGTGAAAGCGGGGGATAAAAAAAGTTTTTTTCAATTATATCAAGACGTACAATTATTCTTTATCAATTGAAGGTTTTCCATGTTATATTTACCCTAGATTGCTAGGTATAAGATCTGAAGGTGGTGGAATTGTTATTCTAATTAAAAATGTGCTTGTAAGTTATGTATCTATAATTGAAACAATATATGATTCAATTATGTGGTTAAAGGTATCAAAAACCCTTATTGATCACCACAATGATATATATATAGCATGTGTGTATATGCCGCCTTCTAGTTCTGTATAATTTGAATTTATTTAATTTTAGTTTATACAAATATATTTATCTAAGGTATTCTATCTCTTGGACCTCCAGAGTTAGGATGCATAATTTGTTGTAAATTGTTGGTTCATTACTGAATTACAAATGTATTAAATTTTGTGTGTTGATGTTGTTTACATATTTTTTTTATTTTTTTATGTATTCTAGTAGTAGATGATGTGAATTTATAATGTGAAGGCATGTGTTCAAATCATAAGATCAATTGAATTTTAAGTAGATTATGTCATTACTTGATTACCACGTGCTTAGTTGCATAAGGTTAGAGATGAGGTCATCATACTAATTATTTATAGACATCACGTGACCATTAATGACCAATGGTCAGTTAGTTAGGTGACTCTAAGCATCAGTTTACACAAAGAGATTGTGGAGGCTGGCAGTAATTTTCATCTCAATCTTGACGACCCTCCCTCCAGCCCCGTTCATCTCCATGTAGAAGACAGTGCACGTGTGGTTATGTAATTATACGTCAGCTATAATCATACTCTATTGTCATTAATTTTTGTATATCCATGGTAATCAAAGTCAATTGTTTCAGATTATAATACAATGTGTGCATCTTTGCTTATTTTTACTCAAGTTTTATAATCCTACATGTTATCATTTATACCGTCTAACCTGCTTGTCATTCACATGTTCAGTGGTATACTGAAGCTATTTAGTTATGATCCATGTGTTTCACTTAGTCAATTCGTTAAGAATTCTATCTAATATCACGAGTACTTTTGATATGTTTTGTACTCATGACATCTTGAGGTCCCTGAATGTCAAGTTAAGTAACAGTATACCAGAGTAAACTATTGTTTGCCTAAGTAGTATTGTTTTAATGTGGTATACTCCCAAATTGATCATTCATGCCGTCTTACCTGCTGTTATCTTCACAGGTTCAGTGGCAAAGCTCTTTCCTTCAAAGGCCCAAGTGTTGTTTATTTTGTTTATACTCATGATCATGATCAGGGCATTTGAGATGCTGTTCCTCAATGTGAACTTAATCGTTTACTAGTTTAATACTTATTGTGTGCCTCTTACGTATACTGTACGTTCGTTTTAGTATATATACTCGCTGTCTAGCCTGCTGTTTGCATCACAGGTTCAGTGCAGTTTTCTTCCCTTCAGATCCATGGTATTCATCTCGAGTCGTTTCTTACAGAGCATATATACCTGCTGTCTTCACCACAGGTTTCATTGAGCTAATATGGTTGGTAGCTAACCCGGCTTTCTTTCTTGTGTATATCACAGGTTCAGTGCCAGATTATTCAAAGCTACTAGCTCTACCTGATGTTTTTATGTGCAGTGTCAGTGTCATCAGTTCAATTATTTCATTCTGCCAAACCTGATGTGGCATCACTTAAGTCTATTTTACACCTGCTGTTCAACCCACAGGTCCAGAAATAACATTCATGCATCAATATCTCAGATCAGATCCAAGTTACAAGTTTCAATTATATAAGTTTTCCTGAAGTTGATTGGTCTTGCATATGACAGCGATGTTTTATCGCATATACTGTTTCCCAACAAACCTTTGTATATTTATACTTACAGTAGCTTACGGTTAAAGACAAGTAGTTGTGGTTAATGAGTTCAATTGATTAGAATAATTACATGTAGTAAGATGTTTTTATTATTGCATAGTTATTTTATTCAAATTTCTGAAGATTTCTTATGTCATGTTTAACGATGGAACCAAGAAGTGCTTAACTCAATATTTTACACAAGGAAATGTACTTAATACTTATGTTGCTACATATGAATACTAAATAGATGATGGCATGATACATGTTTCAATATCATTACAAATGTTTGGGCTATACTGTATGTTTGTTTCTAAACCTTTAAATGCAATGTCCTTATAAATTCAACATTTTTGAATTTTTACCCCAATTTAGATATAGTGATTACAGTTACACTTTTCATATTTATACTTATTCTATTAGTAACCAATATAAATTTATATATACCTGTCAGGCTCACCTGTCCACAGGTACTTCATACAACCATAGACATCCTGGCCTTCCCCCAGTGTCCATGTCTACTATGAAACTTTCATTCATCTAGAAACTGTCTTTCTAGAATCGAAACAAACATGCGGAGTAGCCCCTAAGATTGCCAAGGTTTATACATTTTTGAGTAAATATATATATAGTAGCTTTTGTAGTTGAAACAAATGAAACTTGATCTTACTCAGACTTTGTGTTATTTATATAAATCATAACATATACAACTGTGACCTTTTCTTTGAACTTGAAAATGGTATTGTAAATTATAGTTCCCTCGGGTACATTATGATGGTTGGAGATTTCAATAGCCATACAGGTAGTTTACACGATTCTATCCGGAGTGATGAAATTCATTCCAGTATTAACAAGAGGCCCAGTGGGCCTGTATCGCTCACCTGGAAATGTTAGCAAAATTGAAGTTGAAATAGCAAGATGTTGTTTGAAGTGTACACAACATGGTTACATGGTTAGTCATGGGTTATATTTTTATGCATTTGGACAAAATCCTGTCATTCCTACAGGAAAAGGAGGATTTTAAAGAATTTGCTATGTTTCCACTATTGGGCCCCGTCCCTCTGTCCCCATGGGGGTCAGACCTGCCGTTGATACAAAAATTAGTTTCCCTTCACCCAATGATGCTTTAGACCAAATATGGACATAATCCTGTCATTCCTACAGAAGTAGAAGGATTCTAAAGCTATTTTCCCTATTTGTCCCCGCCCCTCTGCCCTAGGGGTTAAAACCTACAGTTTATACAAAATTGGTTCCCCTTCACCTGAGGGCGTTTCGTCCCAAATTTGGACAAAATACTGTCATTCCTACAAAAGATGAAGTATTTTGAAGAATATGCTATGTTTCCCCCATTGGGCCCCGCTCCTCAAGCCCCAGGGGGGCCACACCCACCGTTTATACAAAATTGATTTCCCTTCCCATAGGATGCTACTGTTCAAATTTGGTCAAAATACCTTCATCCCAACGGAAGAAAAGGGATATTAAAGTTATTCCTCTATATCCCTTATTGGGCCTGCCTCTCTGCCCCCAGGGGGTCAGGCCAACCATTTATACAATGTTGGTTCCCCTTCACGCTTCATACCAATTTTTGACAAAATCCTGTCGTTCCTACAGAAGAAAAAGGATTTTGAAGAATTTTCTCTATTTCACCTATTAGACCCCGCCCCTCTGCCCCAAGGGGTCCACACCCACCGTTTATACAAAACTGTGTCCCCTTGGCCAAAGGATACTCCAAACATAATTAGGAGAAAATCCCTTAATCCCTACAGTAGAAGAAGGATTTTAAAGGTTTTACCTCTATTTCCAATATTTGGCCCCACCCCTCTGCTCCCAGGGGGGCCACACCAACCGTTTATACAAAATTGAGTCCCCTTGGGGTAAAGATGTTTCAGACCAAATTTAGTCAAAATCTACTTGGCCGTTCAGTACTAGTAGCGTTTTAAAGGAAAAGTTGACGGACGCTGCTGTATGGTATAAGCTCACCATGGTCCTTCAGGCCAGGTGAGTGAAACAGCAAACTTAAGCACTACTGATTCTAAAGGTTTTCAACAAAATTAAATTCCTTTGCCTGTCTCTTTAAAAATTTGGTCAAAGGTCTTTTTTTAACAAATTTGAGAATTCTTTATCAAGGCACTCTATTTGCTGTAAAGCATCAGGCTTCCCACTTTATCATTCACAAGATAAAGTTTAAAATTTCAACAATTTCAATAACTATTTCTCTTATAAACCTGTAAGTATAAAGGTTCTAACACATTTGTATTCTATGACCTAGAGAATATGCATAGGATATTCATTTAATCAAACTTGATAGCACTGTCTCCATCTCAGGATGTTACAGATTAAATATACTCCAGGCCCCAGTTATTAAAAAGGGGATTAGTTTAATAGCGATTAGTGCAAATTTTCTTTTTCTCGTATCTAAAAAATACAACCATTAATTGGTTTAAAACTTTCCAGACAGTAAATGTATTGCCAAAGTAAGTCGCATAAATAATTACACATTTTTACACAGTACATTTATGTAATTAGTAGAGGATATGACAATTCAATTGAAAAAAAGCACTTCATCCCAGCAATCAATTGAAAAATCTACCTGTAGTACCGGTTTGTTTAATTACCCAAAACACAGGTATATCAACCTACAGTACCGGTATGTTTAATTACTCAAAACACAGGTATATCTACCTACAGTACCGGTATGTCTTACTGCCCAATACGCAGGTATATCTACATACGGTACAGGTATGCCTTATTATCCAATACACAGGTATATC